GATACTGGATATCCAAGGGACTGACATGGAAGAAGAAAACATCTTCCCACTCATTCCAGCAGGGAGAGCAGCTGAAGCCAATGTTTTGGCAGGGGATTACAATTCTGGTTTAGGACAAACTTTTAGCTAAGGCTTTCCAAAACTGGGATGAGCTTCTACATGCTTGAGAAGCTCCCCATCACTGACAGTATTCAATCCACAACTCCATCATTCATCTTTTCATCCTTACAGATGTTTGTAGAGGATCCACAATGTGTTATCTCTATTCTAGGGACTAGAGTACACAAAGCATTGAGATAAACATCTCACCACCCCCCTGGAGAATTTCATTTTTGGGGGGGAAAACAGACAAACATGCATAGAGATAAATGATTTTGTAAGTGACTTATAATCCATGACATTTGTCATCAAGGAAATGAACTAGGAACTAAAGCAGGAAATGAGGGAAGGAACTGGAGTGGACCATGTTGGTTGGTGTTCCACTGAGGTTCTCTTGGGTCTCTTGGCGGTTTTGATGTGACAGTCCTGTTTCTGAGTGCTGGTAGTGATCTTGTTTCAGGGTAGCCCTTTAGCCACTGAAGCTCTTTACCTGTCTACATAGAAATCTCCTCCCAAAGCCTCCTTAGCTAAGGATTCAGCTTGTCCAGTGAGATTATACAAGCCCAATCCCTTGTCTTTTGAAGGAAGAAGGTTCTGGATACAATTTGCAACCTCCAGCTTCCTAGAGAAAACTGGCCCAGGCTGAGATTATGCCTGAAATTCAGGCTTCCAGGCTTCTTCCTTGCATGGTATCTTCTCCTTCCCTGACCAGCCTCCCCACTTTCCTTTCCCCATGTCTCCTGGGGCTTTCTTTCTTTTCTTTTCTTTTTTTAAGGAAAACACTCTCTTAGGAATCCTCTGGTCAGGGTCTGCTTCTGGTAACTTAGCCCAAGACAGGGAGAGTCATGATCTGATTTACATTTTTAGGTATATGTGGCAGCACCCTGGTTCCTGGGGAAGAAGAGCCGTAGGTGTGTTAGGGGCTAGTAGACTAGGTGAAGGATGAAGGAGGCTTGTCTAGGAGAATACCAGTGGTGATGGCAGTAAGAGCAACCTAAGGTGTGTTCTGAAGATAGAATCAAGGTTTGCTTGGGGATGACTGAAAGAAAGAGAGGAATCTAAGATGGTTCCTGGATTAGATTAGAACAAGCAGAGATTATAATGGATAAAAATCTCCTCATTGGGTGAGAAGTAGAACTCAGTGACTTCAAAGGCCATGTATCTATTTGAAAATCCTTTTGTAGTGGCCTGATTTTGCAACCCAACACAAGAGCTAGAGATGGTTACACATGAGAACAAACACAAACACAGGAAACATACATCTAGATTGGCAGATAGCTTGCAAAAAATCAATAAAATTGCCCAAATTCCTTTTAAGTTACCTAATGAGGTGTTTCCATTTCCTGCTCCTACAGCTTCCCCACTCTTCTGAATCCAGGTTATACCCAGCATTTTTTGTGAAATATGCTAAGCCTTTCTCTAGGTGAAAAGTATTTGTGTAAGACTCATCCTGAACTTCTTGGCTTGGCTATCTTATGCTCTTGGAGATTGATTACCTTGTTTTTGTTTTTGTTTAATTGTTTGTTCTCATGGTGCTAGGAATTGGACCCAGGGCTTTGCAAATGCTAGGAAAGTGCTTTGCCACTGAGTTACATACTCATCCCTACCTTGCTTTTTTTTTTTTTTTTTTTAAGGTACAGATGCTGCCAGGTATGGCGAAACATGACTATAATCTCAGCAACTTGGGAGGTTAAGGCAGAAGGATCTCAAGTTTGAGGCCAGCCTGGGAAATTTAGCAATACCTTATCTCAAAATTAAACTAATTTTTAAAAACAGCTGGGAATATGTCTGAGTGTTCAAGCACTTGCCTAGAATGTGCAAAGCCCGGGATTCAATCTCCTATTCCACACTCACACACCTACAAAAAGATTCTAAGCTTTATTATCATTTTTGTTGCTAACATTTACAAAACTCTATGTGCCAGCTATTTTGTTTAGCACTTTGCATATATATGATTTCATCTAACTTTGCAACAATTCTTTGAGGTGATGCCCTTGTATTCCCCTTTAGGTGGTGAAACCATCATGGCTTAACCATTCACTCAAAGTCAGATAGAGAATGGCTGAATTGGATTCCAACCAGAAGTGCCATAGCATTTCCCATGTTCCAACTGACTGGAAAAAAGTTCAGTCCCTCAAGGCTGTCAAGCCCCAGAGCAGCAGTGCTCAGTTCTCATTTGCCCACCTTCCAGATTCTCTGGGCAGACGCATCCACGACCCTCAGTTCTCACGTGAACAGGCATCCCAGTTTTTTATGGTACCAATGACTTGATGCTACAAAGCAAGGCCATCTCTCACCACACTTATCTCTTTCTTGGTTCATAGGGAGTTGTAGCAGCTCTTAAGGAGTCTGCACCAGAGGTTCTAGAATTTTTTAAAATTAATTAATTTACTTATTTTATTTAGGTATAGGTGGCAGCAGGATGCATTTTGATTCATTGTACACAATTGCAGCACAACTTTTGATTTTTCTGGTTGTACACAATGTAGCATTGCACCATATGTGCAGTCATACATATACCTAGGGTAATGATATCCATCTCATTCCACCATCTTTCCCCATGTCCCCTCCCTCCCCTCCTTCCCCTTTGCCCAATAAAAGTTTGTCCATTTTTCCACATCCCCACCCGCCCCGGCAATTATGGATCAACATCCACTTATCAGAACATTTGGCCTTTGGTTTTTTGGGACTGGCTTACTTTGCTTAGCATGATATTGGAATTCCCCCCCCCCCCCGTGGTGCTGGGGATCAAACCCAGGGCCTTGTGCATGTGAGGCAACCACTCTACCAACTGAACTATATCCTCAGCCTCCATCTGGAATTTTTTTTAACAATAATTCCAAAGTAACTTATGTTCAAGGTACTTCAGATCCATTCAATCCATGTTCATCAAGTACCAGCTTCTACTTGGTAATGAGCAAGGCAAGGGAATGGTGTACAGTAAATGATGTCCTCTACTGCAGGGAACTCAGGTAATGCCAATCATGTTGTCCAGGCGACACAGATGGGGAAGGCTATTCCTTACAGCCTATATTCTCAATTTTCTAGAAACATCAAAGTCCTTTTCTAGTTCAAAAGGAGATCTTCAAATCTAGAAATAATTCCTGCCTCAGGTGAAACAACCTTAATGTCCAACCGTAAGGTGTTTGTTAATTCACTAATTCATTATTTCATGCCATGAAACATCCTTGCTTACCTTAAAAAAAGAATCTGGGCTTTGAATTGTAGCTCAGTGGTAGAGCACTTGCCTCATTCGTGGGTTCGATTCCTAGCACCACATATATATGAGCAAATAAAATAAAGGTCCTTCAACAACTAAAAAATATTGAAAAAAAAAACCAGATTCTGGGATCATGTGGGTTTCATACTATGTTGTGAAGGAGAAAACAAGATAGCATAATGTTTTTCATACTATGATCCCATTTATGTGCAAAAAAGAGATAATTTATTTGCATGGTTAATAGTGATTATTTCAAAATAAATAACTGATTTTTTGCTTTTTCATTATAGTTGGCTTTAACTTTCTTATTTAAAAATGGTATTCAGAAGCATATCTGAAATGGTTACACACTGTATGATTCCAACTATCATGACATTCTAGAAAAGGCAAGAGTATAGAGGACAAAGATAAGCAGTTGCCATGTGTGTTTGGGTGGAGGAAGGGATGAATAGGCGGAGCACGAGGATTTTTAGGGCAGTGAAACTATTGTGTAAGACACAGTTATGGTGGATGCATGTCATTTTACACTTGTCAAAACCCATAGAGTGTATGAAACAGAGAGAGCGGCTAATGAAAACTATGGACTTTAGTTAGTGTATCAATACTGGCTCATCAATGTAACAAATTTACCACAGGAATGCAAGATGTTAATGAGAGAGGAAACAGCATGGGAGGGGGTTGAGAGGAAGCTCTCTGTACTCTGCTCTACTTTTCTGAAAACTGGAAAAATACTAACGTATTCTATAATGTTTTAACTATGCAGAAAAACAGAATATAATAAACCCATTCTTTTTTATCAGATTTAATAAGTCTTCAGACTTTGCTATATTTGTTTTAGATCATTTTTATTTCATTTTTGTGGCACTGGGAATTGAACCCAGAAGCCTTCTACCACTGAACCCTACCCCCAACCCTTTTTCAATTTTAAGACAGGGTCTCATTAAACTGCTGAGATTAGCCTCAGACTATGATCCTTCTGCCTCAGCCTCCCAAATTGCTGGGATTACAAGTGTGAGTTACCATTTGTGATTTGTATTAGATCATTTTTTAAAACAAATAACAAATTACAGAACAATTAAAGCCCATGTATACTCCACCTTAATTTCAACCTTTTTCCTCCTTCCCCAGGGAAAATTCCTTCTATCCATTATATATAAAAATTCACACACATATATAATATTCTTATGTATTTTAAGTTCCCAAACAAATTGAATTATACATCCAACTCTGCAAATTATCTTTTTATTAATCTTACATTAACAACTATTCATGTTGATTCATTTAAACTGCTATATAGCATTCCATTATATGAGTATTCCACAATAAAAAGTTCTAAAATAATGTTTGGGAATATATCTTAACAATACAAAGAAGTACTCACAAGGTTAAGTGAAATAAACAAGATATAGAACATTGTTTATAGTATGATACAAAACATAGGTACATACGAAGTAAAATACTATAACAAAAATATAAAAATATACATGTGGGCTTATGAATTATTTTTCATATTTCTTACATCTTGTGCAATGAATAAGCATTGATTTTATAATTTTAAAAGTATGAATAAAAGCATGCAATACTATTGAAACAGAAGTTACAGCTGCATAATCTGTGAAATTATCACCTCCTTGCCTGCCTCCATTGGCAGAACCCCTGGATAATCTGTAAATAAACTCACCCTGTTTCCACCTTGGGGATTAAGCAGGGGCAGCAACTGGCCCTACAGCTCCCTGTCCCAGTTGCCCTCTCTCATTGGTCTCTGCAACACATTGGATTGGGTTTGGTGCATGATACCCACAATGCAATTACAAGATTGACTATAATTATGCCTGCAGTGATATTATGGGATTGGATATAAATATTCTTGCTACACGTGAGCAGGGTTTATTTCTGTCCACATTTTACCATCTGGCTGCAGTACACCCTTTCCTAGCTCAGAGGAAGGGAAGAGCACCCATTCAAGTCGGAGGCAAAACGGGAGTGGGATGGGAGTGTTTAAACTATCAAATTCTGAAAAATCATCTCAGCAAAATCATCTCAGCTTGTGTGTTGCTAATGGGACCATTGTGTCAGAAATCACAGGAAAGAGGCAGCAGGATTGTATGGGTTTATTTATTATTATTATTATTTATTATTATTTTTTTTGAGACAGGGTCTTGCTGAGTTGCTCAGACTGACCTCAAGCTGTGATCCTCCTACCTCAGCCTCCTGAGTTGCTGGGCTGCATGGTTTATGTTGCCCTTTACGCCAAGCACTCAGGCAAAGAGATCTTCATTTCTGTCCCTGCATGAGCTTGGACTAAAGCTTGGGAAGGCTTGCTCAAGTCCTAAAGCTCCCATGGTTTTGAAGACTCTCCTTGCAAAGGTGCCCACATCCTCACCTTCTGCCTCAATCTTCCTTCCCCATTCAAGTCCTCCATCTGCCCCTGACTGCTAGACAGTTCCATCTGCCTGTCCTACTGTACCATCAAACTAAATTCAGAATTATGTGTTCTTACCTACCCAAACTAGATCTTCCTCTGGATTCCCTATTTCTTTTAATGGAAACATCACTGGTCATCTAGAGGTCATCTTTGGTCCCTTTCTGCCTCAGAACTTGTGTTCCAGCAGAAGGCAAGTCTTGCCACTCCTTCCCCTGTGAATCTGGTGCCCAGATCTAGCACAGTGCTTGTTCTCAGTGATTGACAGATATTTGTTGACTGAATGAATGAGTTGATAATCAAATGGCTCTTCCTTTCTATTCTTCCTGATCACCTTCCTAGCTCTAGCTCTTATTATGTCAAACTTGAACTATTGCAGTGACCTTTCAACTGGGTGCTTTGCCTAATCTTTCTGAGCTCCAGTTCCTCCTGCTACTGTCACCAGACAGGTTGTCCTTATGTGCCACTCCCTATTTAGACACATTTGGTGACTCTTCTAGGCTACCCTTAAAATTCAAAACCATATCAGCTTTCAAGGCCACTGCAGTCTAACCCCAATTAACATATCTAGCCTGTGATTAAAACTACTCACATTTTTTTTCTGTTCTCATACATCTTGCACTTGATCCTCACAATGACTATGCCCAGGCCATTCCCTTAGTTTGGACTGATATTCCCATCTCTATCTGTTCTCCAGACCTTACCATCTTTCTGGACACAGCTCCCATTCTCTTCTCTTCTATGAAATTTCCTCAGATCACTCTGGCCCTGAATTTCTCTGGTCCAGGATTTCCTGTCTATGCTATTGTTTGGTAATTAATTATGTTTCTGCATTGTGCCATTTTTTATTTTATTGGGGTGAACTTATTGTTTATCCCTTGTATTGACTTATTTTTTAACCTTTTCTGTGCTCACCAACTTTTTAACTAGATCATGTGACTCTGCAGGGAAACTGCTGTGTCTTAGGAACTTTTTTGCTTGGGTGATTTTGTGCTTCATCCCTTCCCTCCTTCATCTCCACTCCCCACCGTGACTGACTCGTGACCCAGGTCAGCCACTCCCCTAGTCACATATTCCATGAATGACTGATCATGGTCTCAATAATCCCGACCAGCCTAGTTGAAGTCTTTTCCCAGTTTTCATCTTACTGAAGCTCTGGGTTCTCAGAAGTGGCAAGGTGTGGATCTGGGACCACTACGTTCCCCTTCAGGTGATAAAGGTGGTCTGGGCTGCAGTAGACGAGGAAGTGGCCGACACCTAGAGAAAAGTAGTCAAAGGTGAGAAGAGAGAGACCTGAAGATGGTTCTTGGGTACCTGCATCCAATGATGATAGAAACAGGTTTATCCTTGGCATTTTATTGGCCAAGTGAATACATTTCCCTTTTTAAATTTGAATTAGCACAAGTTAGATTTCTGTTATTTTAACTGGCAGAAGCTAATACACTTTGCTTAAAGAAAGGGATGGATTCCTTTTATGACTTGTACATGTACTATTTTAATACTTTATAGGTTTATATTAACATTTTCTGAGGAGCTGGTACAGTGGTGCTTGTCTGTAATTCCAGCTACTTGGGAGGCTGAGGCCGGAGGATCAGAAGTTTGAGGTTAGTCTCCGTAACTTAGCAAGATCCTGTCTCAAAATAAAATTTAAAAGACTGGGGATGTAACTCTGTGTTAGAGCACTTGTTGAGCATGTGCCAGGCCCTAGGTTCAATCTCAGTACTGAAAGAAAAATAAAAATCTGATGATAAGTATGCTTTTAATCATTTTAGCCAATTTTGAAAATAACAGAAATGTTTAAAGAAAAAAATTAATATCATCCATATCTCCATCACCCAAAGCTACTGCTATCTGCCTTTAGCTTGCTTTTTTCCTTAAATCTTTCTCTTTTTTATTCTTTTAAAGCCTTTATTTTTTTATTTTTGATATTTTTTTTATTATTAGTTGTTCAAAACATTACAAACCTCTTGACATATCATATTTCATACATTTGATTCAAGCAGATTATGAAGTCCCATTTTTACCCCGTATACATATTGCAGATTCACATCGGTTCCACATCCACTTTTTTACATACTGCCATACTGGTGTCTGTTGTATTCTGCTGCCTTTCCTATCCTCTACTATCCCCCCTCCCCTCCCCTCCCCTCTCCTCCCATCTTCTCTCTCTACCCCATCTACTGTAATTCATTTCTCTCTCTTGTTTTTTCCCCCTTTCCCCTCACTTCCTCTTATATGTAATTTTGTATAACAATGAGGGTCTCCTTCCTTTACAATGCAATTTCCCTTTTCTCTCTCTTTCCCTCCCCCCTCTGGACCCTGTTTAATGGTGATCTTCTTCTCATGCTCTTCCTCCCTATTCTGTTCTTAGTTGCTCTCCTTATATCAAAGATGACATTTGGCATTTGTGTTTTAGGGATTGGCTAGCTTCACTTAGCATAATCTGCTCTAGTGCCATCCATTTCCCTGCAAATTCCATGATTTTGTCATTTTTTAGTGCAGAGTAATACTCCATTGTGTATAAATGCCACATTTTTTTTAATCCATTCATCTATTGAAGGGAATCTAGGTTGGTTCCACAGTCTAGCTATTGTGAATTGTGCTGCTATGAACATCGATGTAGCAGTATCCCTGTAGTACGATCTTTTAAGGTCTTCAGGGAATAGTCCGAGAAGGGCAATAGCTGGGTCAAAGGGTGGTTCCATTCCCAGCTTTCCCAGGAATCTCCATATTGCTTTCTAAATTGGCCTCACCAATTTGCAGTCCCACCAGCAATGTACAAGTGTACCCTTTTCCCCACATCCTCGCCAGCACTTGTTGTTGTTTGACTTCATAATGGCTGCCAATCTTACTGGAGTGAGATGGTATCTTAGGGTGGTTTTGATTTGCATTTCTCTGACTGCTAGAGATGGTGAGCATTTTTTCATGTACTTGTTGATTGATTGTATGTCCTCCTCTGAGAACAAATCTTTCTTTTTATGCTTTTTCTAAATCAATGTCATTATATTATTTTCAGTTTTATATTCTGCTTTCTTTATGTTCATTACATTGCAAATGATTAAGCATTCACTGTTTTATATAGTAGTCTTCAACTTTGCTTATTTTTTTTATTTTAAAAATGTTCTCTTTACCCAGTGACTTGGGAGGCTGAGGCAGGAGGACTGTGAGTTCAAAGCCAGCCTCAGCAACTGCAAGAGGCCCTAAGCAACTTAGTGAGACCTTGTTTCAAAATTAAAAAAAAAAAAATTTTAAGGTTAGGGGGAATGGCCTGGGGATGTGACTCAGTGGTTAAGTGCTCCTGGGTTCAATCCCTGGTACCAAAAATAAAACAATAGAGATATTCTCTTTATTTTTCTTACTGTTGAAGAGAGAGCTAAGGTGAGAAAGTGAAAGAAAGACTGGGGAAAAGAGGAGAAAGATATCAGGAATACATGACGGAGAAAGAAAAGAGAGCAGAGATGACCCTCCTTTGCTTCGTTACAAGTCCATATTTTATCCTGCTTGGTTCCAGAAAAGATTTAAAGCACTATTGTCCTTATAGCCTTAGGACAACAGCTCTCCCATCTCTCTCCCATGGTGGTGGCTGCAGGGGTTGCTGTGGTTCTGTTCCTGTGCCCCTGAGGCTGAGCCAGAACTGGCTTCTGCAGGCTGCAATTCAAGATGGCCAATTCGCAATCCTAGCAGAATCAATCTATTAGAAACTAATGAGGCACAAATAGTTCATGCACTTTGAGGCTGATCTGCCAAATGAGATAAACAGGGCTCAATCAGCAGGGAAAATCAATGATGCAAAAATGCATTTCAATCTAACATCATTTCCCCCTGGGATGCCCACGACATCACATTCTATTGTTTTGATGCTTCTGTGGCAATTCTTGTCTAAGCTTCTGTAGGCTAGGACAAGAGAACTCCCTCACCCAGCTTCACACTCCCAGAGGCTGGTAAATGCCAAGATTTGGTGGCTAAGACTGAGAGGCCTGGCTGGCCAATGTGTGGAAGAAGGGAGGATTATCTGTTTTGTAAATAAATAACCTATGTTTATAAACCACCCTCTGTACCAGGTGATGTAATTGCAACTAACATGACTATGAACTTTCCAAGACCACAAATATCAAAAGCATCATATTATAAATTTACATTTATAAAACAAAAGACAAGAGTGATGTTTTTAAAATTCTGACATTTTTTTTTTGGTACTAAGTTTATTTTCCCTTCAATATACTAGCAAGATATAATCATGAAAATTTTACGAATTATTGATAAGTAAAAAGAAAATATTTGACATCTCTATTAAATTTTATTTCTACTTGCCAAATTTCTCTCCATGCAGAATTATCTTAAAAATAAAACCATGAAATACATGCTGTTTCATAACCTACTTGTAAAAAAATTG